TCCTCCTCCTCTTCTTCTTCTTCTTCTTCTTCTTCTTCTTCTTCTTCTTCTTCTTCTTCTTCTTCTTCTTCTTCTTCTTCTTCTTCTTCTTCTTCTTCTTCCTTTTCCCCCCCTTCTCCTCCTCCTCCTTCCAGAATTGCTCATTGTGCTGTAATGTAAGATGGTGAAAAAGGGCTGTGTCTTATTTTGTTTGTATCTTGTTTGGTTAAGAACAGAGTTTTCCCTTTTGAAATCAGTGCATCTGGGAGAATGCAGTTAACATCTAGTATTCCTAATTCTTAAATGTTTATAGTACTAATCTCAAGAGCAATTAGTACTCATTTATAGTGTTAATTTTGGGAACAATTATGTGTGTGTGTGCACATAAATATGTGTTATATATGTATTATACACACACACACACACAGAGTCTTTAACCTACAACAATGGACCCAAAATTTATGTTGCTAAGTGAAATATTTGTTGAGCTTTGCCCCATTTTACGACCTTTTTTGTCACAGTTATTAAGTGAATCACTGTGGTTGTTAGTAACAAAATTGTTCAGTGAATCTGGCTTCCCCATTCACTTTGCTTGTCAGAAGGTCGCAAAGGGTGATCACATGACCCCCAGACGCTACAACATCCATAAATACGAACCAGTTGTCAAGTATCTGAATTTTAACCACGTGACTCTGGGGATGCTGCAATAGTGTGAAAAATGGTCTTAAGTCCCCTTTTTTAGTGCTGTTGTAACTTTCAACAGTCACTAAATGAATGGTTGTAAGTCGAGGACTATCTGTATTGCTTCCTCCACTGACCCAATGGAAGTCTGAACGTCATGGCCAGGATAAGGTAAAATTTAAGCTTCCTCTTACTCTATTTGGGTCATTGATTCATTTCTATCATAAATTATACCCTGGACCTTGATTCATCCTTGAAGGATACCCAGATTTGTAGTATGTTAGATGCCAATGGCAACTCACCCGATACATCATCGTGAAGCAGCAACTTTCTATACTCCTAACTCGTACTTGCTCTGAAACTTCTATATAGGTAGTTCTCAACTTACAACCATTCATTTAGCAACTGTTCCAAGTTACAATGACATTTAAAAAAAAAAAGACTCACAAGCAGTTCTTGCATTCTTGTAGTCGGATGATTGAAATTTGGGCACTTGGCAATAAAGCACTTGCAATGGTTGTAGCATCCTGGGATCACACCAGGATCATTTGCGACCTGACAAGCAAAGTCGAAGGGATAAACCGGATTTGTTTAACAACGGTGTGATTCACTTAACACCTAAACTGGTTCACGAAACTAGTGTAGCAGAAAAGGGTGTGCCATAGAATTGGGCTGCACAGTTTTGCTTGGTTATAGTAAATTCTGGTCCCGACCGCCGTCGTAAGTCGAGGATTACCTGTAGTCAAACTTTCTGCATTTATTCTGCAGGAGAATCTGGCCTGGGAAAATCCACTCTCATCAACAGCCTTTTCTTGACTGATCTCTATAAGGACCGAGTGCTTCCAGATGCGCAAGGTGAGAGCAGAACTGACGATTTTGGGAAGATGGGCCTGGAGGAATAACCTGATTAGGAGACCTTAGTGTTGGTCCCGCATTCCTGTTTTCTGCTTCACAGCCAGGATCCCCCAGACTCTGGAAATTGTCAAACATGCAGTAGATATTGAGGAACAAGGAGTGAAAGTCAAGCTGACAGTGATTGATACTCCAGGACTTGGGGATGCAATAGACAATACGGAGTGGTAAGAGGCACCTACAGAGTAATAGGTTACAAAGGATCTTGGGGGTCTTCTAGTCCACCCCAGGCTCAAGCAGGAGACCCTATACCAGGGATGTCAAACTGGATTTCTTGGAGGGCCGGATCACCATTGTAGTTCCCCGTGGGCCGGTAGGACGGGC